TTTGCTTTTTTCTCCCCCCAAAAATGGATCAAAATCAATTCAAAAGGTGATATTCGTAATCACCGTGAAATTTTGCATCGAATGATATAGTTTTAAGTGAAAAATAAGAACTTGCAATTCTTTTGAATTAGCAGCGCCTTAATATTTTCTTTTCTCTCTACTGACCCGGTGTGTAGCCAACTGGTATATTTCGTTTTTCACATTCATTTATATCAATATGATTATATCCAACAGATATAGTAGATAATGCTTTCAAGTTACTATTTGTATGTTCTAATAATTCTTTATCAATTACCATTGATGATCCCGTAAATAGTATTGCATTAGGACAATTATCTTTTATTGTTGTTAATAATTCTTGTCTATTCAATGGTGGCTGATGATGATAATCAATAGTAAATTTTTGTGATAATTGCTTGAGAAATTGCTCTGGTATTAACTGATTAATCAATAGACGAGGTAATTGTGATGTCATGTTTCTATATTTGATCGAAAAGAATAATGGCTCAAATCAATAGCACATGTATGACTCGTGTTCACTCTGTGTGCGCGCAAACGAGAGTAACATCGACATTTAATGCAGAGTGAAGTACTTCAGAGGAGTCTTTTGTTTATATAATTTTATGGAAAAAATTGTGTTAGTTTCGTCTAAACTAGGATAAAACCTTTGAATAGACGTGTTGTATGAATTTTCGGAAAAGCATAAGTCGTTGATTTTTAAATGTAGAATTAGGCGTTTTTTAAATTTAAAGTATCTTGTCAGAAAGCGTTTCAGAAATCCTTACAAAACAGGTTTGAAAAGAGCGTACAAAATCAAACAATCGTGAGAATTTGCCAGTGGTAAGTATGAAAATCTTATTTAACGTAATAAAGAGGATTTCCAAGAAATAGGAAGAACAGGGACCACAAATGGCGAAGTTGTTGAGTCATACAAGTTGCCTGTTAAAAGGTTTTATTGTTACTGTACGCTAAAAAAAGTATATTATCTCTCAAAGATAAGTAACAGATCTCATCAGAAAACACGCGTATACTAAGAAAACCGTAGGCATTAGCATTTTTGAAAAACATGTCCCATGCTGAACAATATTTGGGGAGCGGTGTCAGAATATCAATACACTGTGTATTCTCAAAACCGAACCAGTTCTTAGAAAATGTGCATGGGTTTGCTGGGTTTGGTGTATTCTCGACCAGAATACACTTTTGTATATATAGCTATGTGGAAAAGTTTCTGGCTTGCACAGAAGCGGTCGAATGCGTATTACAATATAAAATTGGCATTTTTGAAAGAAGACGTACATTCAAGTATAAACTCTGTATATTATTGGCAGATTTGCATGGTGTAGAATGCAGACACGAATACAACAAATCCAGTAGTCTATTTAGATCTTTATATATGAGCGTTGTCATAATTAATATACTGAGTGTATCCACTTATACAGTATCTAAAAACTTCAAAGTACTCACTAATGCAAAAGCTGTATCCGTATCCACGCATGTAGATGTAACCGAAAGCTTGAGATGCATCAAGATGCAATAGTGAAATGTTGACTCGTGTGTCACTCTCGTGCTACGTCCAGTCCCCCTACAGCTATAGATATATCCGTATGTGTGTGATACAGCTAATAAAATCTCAAAGACCTGTGCATTGAGATATGAGACTATGTACAGCTATTTACCGTGCATAAGCAGAATACACCAAACTCAGCAAGCTCAGCATATTCTAAATATCTGTATATACAAAAGTGTATTCTGATCGATAATACACTAGAATACAACAAACCCAGCAATTATTCTTAAAAACAGTTTTTGAGAATATCCTGCGTATTGATATTCTGAAATCTCCGCTACTCATTCGACTAACGAGATATTAGGGGCGAAATATTGTAGAAAAAACTATTTAAAAAATTGGGGTTGTTTGGTTTTACCTCAACGTTTGCAAGAAAGCTGCCACATACGCTTAATGTTTTTCTTCTTTTTTATATACTCTGTATTACGAAAAGGACGGACATAAAAATAAGCGATTCAACAATGAATCTTTGTAAGTTAGAAGTAACTTGATAACAGATAAAAGGTATAAGACAAAAAAAGGAGAGAAAGAACAAAAACAAATACAGTGAGATAAAGAGCCGAGAGATGAGTTTGTAGGCGATCTAGAGAGATTAGTTAATAACGGAAAAGTAACTTATGTAACTTTTCTCTGTTATAACAAGATTAATATGTTATACGACAGAGGAGAAAAAGAAATATAAATAACAACAACGGAAAAGGTTTCAAGGAATTATTGGACTCTAAATAGATTCAGGACTTGGGCTCGGACTGGTGACTGCATTTCAAGGATTCGTACTATGTTTGCCCTCTTCGTGAGTTGGATTCGGACTCGGTACTCCCTCTCCGGACTCGCCTAATCCTGATAGGCTGCTGTCCAGACGAAAGATGCTACTCTCACTTTAAAAATAGCCTCTTAGTCCCTCGGCTCTTGATTGATCGATCCATAGCTTGCAGGATACAAATGCATTTTGTATTCATTTTTCTGTTTTATGTATTGATATATTCGAAATAGAACAGATAGTTGAAAACGAATACAGTCAAAGTCGTCGATGTATTCACGTCTTTCTATTATGAAAACGAGTGGGGAGCAAGGGAACAAAAGTTGATTTGTTATTACTACAAGCAGGTCGCTTTTAAGTTGCTGGTTAAATGCAAGTGAGTTTCCCTATAGGAAGAGCCTACAGTACATATATGTACTGTAGGCTTTGCAATTTTTGAATTATTCAATCACTATGTATGCTATGTGTGTGGAGGAACGGTACAGCCACATCGCCCACGAAATCTAGCCATTCTTTTATCACCATCACGTGGGGTACAGAAATATTAGTGCACAACTCTTGTCCAACACATTTATAATGCACCACACGCCCGTCAAAGATCTTTTTACTCCTGCATGTACGATACACGAAAAGCACATGTAATAGGCGGAATATTGAGAAGGATCGAGAAATTCAGTGAGCTGATGGCTCTAGGGGTTTTTAACATCGCTGAATCGATACATGATGATTTCAGAATTCTTTGACCATTATAATACTGAGTAGTTCACGAAAAAAATTATTTATTTTCAAGTTTTAAGCCGATTTTTGGACTATTGATAGGATTTTATAAGAGTAGAATGTTCCGAACAATGGCTATTGAAATTCGAAAAATTATGTACGTTGTTTTTCTTTAACTCAAAAACCTTATTGGTCAGCCAAATCATCTGAAATACTAAAAGACATTGAATGACATTGAAATGAAATGGAATTTATAATTCAAAACAAAGAAAATAAATTGCTGTGTACGCTGAAGATGGTGTTTGTTCTAGGAGAAAATCTCTAATTACTGCATGTTCTCGAAGAAAATATCGAGTAAAACATGAAAAAATTTGATGAAAAAGATTAAACTATCGAAAGAACGTAGTAACAATCAGATAAGTGGCAGGAAAGCTTGCTCAGCCTTCCTGCAACCTGGTTCTAATCACACCGGGATCTTCGTACGCTCTGTCCGGATCACGTTTTAATCCTGCCGCAACCTTCGCAGGATTTCAGCGCGATCCCGTCAAAAAGTTTTCGCGTCAAGATTGTTAAATTTTCGTTACACGGGAAAAATACCAAGATTAGGTACGATCGCGGTATCGATCCCGCGCTAAGTTTCAAATTTCTTGTGAAAATCGCGGCAAGATGAGGCTGTATTCTTGCCGCGAAATGAAGCGGGAATGCTACTGGGATAGCTTAAGTAATTGAGGAAAAGAGCTCTGCGTTAGGCTAGCCGTCTTATCAGGACTGCAGTTGATGATTAGTAACGAGCAGCTTGTCAACTACAGGGAAGATATTAAGCGATTGAAACTACCATGGCAACACCGGGGAACGATACCTAGTAACAGTAATACTTTACTTTCAGTATTATTGTTGCTGGGAATAGGGCTAAGTATATTTAATATAATTGAAAAATATTTTTGTATAAGGAGAGATAGTTTTGCTTCAAAAACTCACTTGCCTTGTAACCGTGTGTTAGATGAAATTCCACTTCTGAAATATTTTTCTGTCTCTTCTTCGCCTTTGTGTCAGACTATATGAATTTATTCACCTGACGTCTAGGATATTCATTGGGACGCTTTTCGAAGAAATGGGCCGTTTTTTTTGATTTATTATTTTTTTTCCTGGAAAAATCAATTTAAATCGATTTTTTTTTGAAGAAAAACTACTTAAATTTACTTTTTTAAGAATCTTTTAGAAAAACCTGTTTAAATTAATTTTTAAAAAGATTCATTTAAATTCATTCTGCTTAACTTTTTGTGTGATAAGTATTTAAATTTATCTCTATCTCAATAAATCTAGTTTTAGTTTTTGACAAAATCTATTTAAGTGCCTTTTATCTTTGATTTGGAGAAAAAAGAAATTCAAATTAACCTTTTACAAGAACCAAAATCAGATTCATTGAGAAAGAAATGAATTTCAATAGATTTTTTGCACGAAACGTTGCGCAGAATGAATTAAATGAATTTTTTTAAAAAGTAATTTAAACAGATTTTTCTAAAAGAATTCTAAAAAGATTAATTTAAATAGGTTTTTTTCAAAAGAAAAATCGATCTAAATGAATTTTTCCAGTAAAAAAATAATAAATCAAAAAAAATGGCACACTTCTTCAAAAGGTGCTGCAATGGGTATCATCACTTCCTACCGAACTCAAGGAAAGTGGGTAGGTTTCCGTTAAACATTCTTGTCGGCGTAGTATCTTTTTATTCTAAATGCTATTATAAATCTATTTTTATTGTGTCTTGCGTATTGGTTTGGCCTAATCTTCATTAACATAAACTGCTACTATAGTTTCCAAGAAAGACACAGAATCTACTGGCCCATTGTACCTCAGGTGTGTTGCTGAGGGAAAAAAAGTTACGGAATTAGTAAAAACAAGAAAAAAGAAAAAGAATGGTGAATATGATAGAGAATGAAAGTTTCTGTTTTATCATTGATTGTAGCTGAATTTGCCTTATGCTTCTCGCAATATAACCGCCATCACAATTATCTGGTTTTTAAACTGTTAATATAGTGCGATTTCAAGTAGCTGCTATATTAATATCTACAATTCTAGACATATCTCCACTTTTTGCATTTAACTATATATGGAGAAGACACAATAAAAAAAAGGCAAGAAAGGATAAGAGAAGAAGCTATCTATATACAACTCAAAGTTGAAAAAAATAAGAAACAAAACGCTAGTAGATAATGTAAGATTCAGTGATCGAAACGACTACTTTCTTTTATGAATAAAATAACAGCTTTATATATAACAGCAAAATGATCATAGTCAAAAGGATGTAGAATAAGAGAGAAAGGCTTGTCTTCATATAAGGTATCGAATAAGTTACGAGAACTGCGACATGTACCGATTTTTTTTTCTTTTCTTTTTTTTGTTATGTTCTTATATGACCTTCATCCAATGTTT